AAAATCCAGCTTGTCATGCACAAATTCACCACCAGGTGTTGCAGAACCAGCCAGTCTATCTGTCTGTTCATTTCCCAACACACCAACATAACCCAAAGGATGCTAAGTTCACCCATCCCACAAGTGCTCTGTCTCTTTCTTCAGTAGCCAACATGCTAACAGTACCTGTTGCAAATTGATTTAAATTCTGCCTATGTTTCTCCCTCAATGTTGAACATCTTCCAGAATCTCTATACACCCCCGGTTGAATTAGTCTTTCAATGTATGGAGTCTCTGTTTTTTTTTTTTGCACTGATCATTTTACCATAAAGTAGCTCACCGCCCAGAGGAGAGGCAGCAGCTAATCTAGCAGCCTGCCCCACACACTTGAAAACCCTGAAAAGAAAATCCCTGATCTGTTATATCTTTGTATTTAAATAAGCAGTTTAATTACTTCCCACATAGCATGGCTGGCTTGAGCTCTTGCATACCTCATTTAATGCTTTTCAGCTCATCTCCTCGGAAGGGTTAATGTAACAACTTGTTGGGACTGATATTTAAGTTAACCTGCCTTATTAGTTTTTTTTTTAAACTGAAAGGATATAGTTCTATCACCATCTAACAAGTTCAATGTATGGTGCAACACTAAGATTTCATTTGGACTGCTCTTTGACTGTGCCCAGTGTGGTTTAAGTTTTGAACTGCAGATGCAAAAAAAATTGGAAGTGGCCAAATGCCAGAGAAATGGTGTTGCCTTATGCGCTTGATTGCTTGTGCAGCTACTGACTGACCTGTTGTAACTTTTGTTTTCATAAACTTTATATTTCTAGTGCCGAACTGTTTGTGTTGGCACTTCTAATGGCTGCCTCATGCATTTAATGCATGTGTATGTCACTGGCTTTGCTAAGACTTGTTTGTTTGTGTCATTTTTGTCATAATGGACAGCGAAAGACTGTAATTTTCACTGGCACAAGAATGGGTGACCCATTTGCTATGACATGCTTTATCAAAGAAAATGTCATATTTAGCCCCTAATATCTCTCTCTGATCTCCAGCAGAAAGTCGGTGAATGTGACGTGTATGTTTCCTCAGTCCATCTACAAGCAATGTTCTCTGAAACAGACTTTTATGTTTACTCATTTAACCTACAAGAGATGTTCTATGAAAGAGAATCCATATCTCCTCATTTTATCTCCAAGAGATGTTCTGTGAAGGAGAAATATATTTACCCCATTTCATCTACAAGAGATGTTATATGGCACAGACATATATTTACCCCATTTCATCTACAAGAGATGTTATGTAAAAGAAACACATGTGTCTCCTCATTTCAGGAAATGTATCTTTTCTTCAGGTCATAATAGTGTGTTGGGAAATCAACAGGTGAACAGACTGGCTGGCTCTGCATAGCTTGATGTAATATTGAAGCATGATAAGGCAGACGGGGTTAGAGCCTGTAAGGAGAATGTTTACAATTCAGAACAGCAAACTGATCATCAGTCTGGTGAGAGTTATGCAGCAAGGAGTGACGAAGATCTAGCCGATACTCAAAACTCCGAGGAAAGGGAAGACGGGCATTTAATCAGACTACTGCTTGCACCACTGGTATTGGAACTCTACGCTTGCTGCTGAAAATGGGGACGGAATGCATATGGAAATGCTCGAGTGTTGTGATGATGCTTCTTGAATCAACTCAACTCTGTAAACTTCCCTTCCAACCCAAGAAAACTCAATCACCAAAATGAACCTATCCCCCCCCCCCCCCCCCCCCCCGGGAAACTACCCCAGTGAACCTCTCTTCTAATCAAATAAATTCATTTACCCTGACAAGCTTCTCTTCCACCTCAAGTAAAAAACTCAATTGGCCAAGTAAACCTCTCTTCCACTCCAAGTAAACTAAATCACCCTAGTAAACCTCTCTTCCACCCCAAGTAAACTCAATTGGCCAAGTAAACCTTTCTTCCACCCCAAGTAAACTAAATCACCCTAGTAAACCTCTCTTCCACCCCAAGTAAATTCAATCACCCTAGTAAACCTTCCAGGGTTTACCCTAAGTAAATTTAACTAGCTTAATGAACCTCTTTTCCACCCCAAGTAAACTTAATCACCCTAGTAAACCTCTACTCCACCCCAAGCAAACTAAATCACCCCAGTAAACCCCTCTTCCATCCCAAGTAAACTCAAATGGCCTAGTAAACCTTTCTTCCACCCCAAGTAAACTCAACTGGCCTAGTAAACCTCTCTTCCACCCCAAGGAAAGTCACCCTAATGAACCTCTTTTTCACCCTAAGTAAACTCAATCACCCTAGCAAACCTCCCCCCCCCCAAAAAAAAAAATAAAGTCACCCTAATGAACCTCTCTTCCACCCCAAATAAACTCATTTGGCCTAGTAAATCTTTCTTCCACCCCAAGTAAACTCAAATGACCTAGTACACCTTTCTTCTAACCCAAAAAAACTAAACTGGCCTAATAAACCTCTCTTCCACCCCAAGCAAACTCAATCCCCCTAGCGAACCTCTCTTCCACCCCAAGCAAACTCAATCCCCCTAGTGAACCTCTCTTCCACCCCAAGCAAACTCAATCACCCTAGCGAACCTCTCTTCCACCCCAAGCAAACTCAATCACCCTAGTTAAATTCCCTTCAATCCCTAAAGACTGAAATTAGTATATAATGTATTTGCCTATGGATAATTAAAATAGATATGTAATCATGAATGTGGGATCAGGTTTATAACTGGATAGTTCCGATTAGTCACCCCCCCCCCCCCCCACTTTTACCTTCCCCTGTTTACTGTGCCAAGCAGAATCAACCAATCAATGAAACATTACAGAATCCAACATTAGACATTCAACAAGGAATATACATGTTATTATTCAATAAGCTAACAAACAAATATATTTACATATAAGCTTAAATATTTTTGGCTGAAATTACCAACTCTGCTTGTAATTAGTAACATATAAAATCATATAGAAATGAGACTTCTTACCCCCCTTCCCCCCCCCCCCCCCCCCAAAAAAAAAAACCGTCTAAAGTAATGATCATTTGTACCTCAATGTTTCCCAACAAAGAGACACAGACAGTCTGTGTGAATATATGTCATAATTGAGTTTTTGGATGTGGTTTTATAGACGAATGATGAGAATACCCTAGACAAAAAAAAAAAAAAACAAGAGTAATAAAGATGTCTCAGAAGAAACTGACTCACAAGGAGAACTGATTGCTCACTTTAGAAAGAGACAATCTACATTCTTTGTTCATATGATCAGAAGAAGAAAACTGGGGTACAGAGACAGTTATAGGGGAGAAGAGGCAGAGGGAGATCAAGAGAAAAGATGCTGGACAGTCTGACATCATGGCATGGAGGATCATCTGTGTCAAGAGTTGACAAAGTACACGAGACAGAAGGTTGTGGACATAGATGACTACCAATGCCATATGGTATGGACTTTAAGAAGAAGATGTCTTATATATTACAAGTGCATATGATTAGTGTAAACTATGCTTCTATGGCATAGTTACAGGAGGACATAAGTCCATCCTATGAGCCCAGATTAACTATAAACTACAATGAAAAAACATTCAGAGAATTTTAGATGTTTTTTAATAGGATCTAGATAAGAACCAACTGGACCAAATATGTTGCAATATGAAGCAATGAAAATATAACAGTGCAAAGATTTAACTCTTTGAGTCTCAAGGTGAGCATCATAGGTTCATAGGTTCTATCTAGAGGCACACTTGGTGTATGATGCGCTGATTTTATGTCTCCCTCTCTACTACCCCATGGGCTTGTGATGCTAAGCCCCTTGGGACTCAAAGTGTTAAAATAAGAATAATACATAGATTCTTAAAGGCAGGTCATAAAGACTCATCAAAGAGAGTTATTGAAAGGCAAAACACCATTCTCATGACCACTTAGATGAGTGGTTCTCAACCTATGGGTAGTGACCCTTCTTTGGGTCGAACAACCCTATTCACAGAGGTCGATATTGACCATCGTAAAACACAAATTCACTGAAATTATGAAGTAGCCACAAAAATAATGGTATGGTTGGGAGTCACCATAACATGAGAAGCTGTATTAAAGGGTCGCCACAACATGAGTAGCTTTATTAAAGGGTCGCCACAACATGAGAAGCTGTATTAAAGGGTTGCCACAACATGAGAAGCTTTATTAAAGGGTCGCCACAACATAAGAAGCTGTATTAAAGGGTCGCCACAACATGAGAAGCTGTATTAAAGGGTCGCCACAACATGAGAAGCTGTATTAAAGGGTCGCCACAACATGAGAAGCTGTATTAAAGGGTCGTGGCATTAGGAAGGTTGAGAACCACTGACTTAGAGGGAGAATCAACAGCTGTGTTGCCTGGCAGGTAGAGTTCAAAGAGGATAGAACAGTTCACAGATCTAGAGCAATAATTTTGAATCAAGAAAACAAAGTTCTATCCAGGGATTTATACATGGAGTTAGAGAAAGCATCTCAAGTCAGACAACTGTGGAATGGAGTGATGTTTAACCAAAGCACTAAGTACTCATGGCACATCATGAATCTGCCTTTGCTTTGGGAAAACAGGTCGTTACCTTTGAGTGTAGTTAATTCTGCACTTCAGTTAGAATGATTCACTTATTTGCTTCACTATATTCAACTGCTACGACAGTGTGCATCTGATGAGATCCAGCTAAATATGCCAGACAATAAATTGTGCAATACATTTGTTCAAATTTACAACAGTAAGATACTGTTTTGAAATCACAGATAAACATGTCTTCAACATTTGGCAACAAACAGATTCTGTTTTCTGTTATAAATTACCACAAAAACAGAAACACAGACAGCATTTATGAGAGCCTCCAGGATGGCTGCGATGAGATGCTGGTGGAGATGCTGCGTGATGACACATCTAATTCTCCAGACTGGTGTCTTGAGGGACCATGTTCAAGTGCTTCCTGTTTGTTGTTCTATGCTCTACTGCACACCCGTGTTGTTCTACAAGTTCAGGAGTCTCGTTCTGGATGTCATACCAGCCCAGCAGCCTTTGCCATGCTGAAGAACATACTGGTGGGGTTCTTCAACAAAACCTGCGGTGGGTCAAACTCCTGAATCTCTCCTTTGTCCAACACCAGGATCCTGAAATTTAAATAACATGCAGATTCACCAAATGACAGTATCATCCATTCACAATCAAGGCACACACAACTACTCATCTGAAATGCCACCCACACAAAATTAATGGATAAATAAATCTTTCCACATGACATCACCAACTCATAATCAATGGACATATAACTACTCATATGAAATGTCAACCACACAAAATCAATGGACAGATATATCTTTTCACAGGACATATGATCAATCCACAAACAATGGACATATAACTATTTATATGAAATGTCAACCACATAAAATTAATGGACAGATGGGCCAAAGGGCGAAAGCTCATGCGCCGCTGGATCGATAACAACAACAACAATGGACAGATAACTCTTTTCACATGACATACCACTGACACACAATCAACTGACACAGATAACTCTTTTCACATGACATGCCACTGACACACAATCAAATGACACAGATAATTCTATTCACATGACATACCACTGACACACAATCAACTGACACATATAATTCTATTCACATGACATACCACTGACACACAATCAACTGACACAGATAATTCTATTCACATGACATACCACTGACACACAATCAACTGACACAGATAACTCTTTTAACATGACATACCACTGACACACAATCAACTGACACAGATAATTCTATTCACATGACATACCCCTGACACACATTCAACTGACACAGATAATTCTATTCACATGACATACCACTGACACACAATCAACTGACACAGATAATTCTATTCACATGACATACCACTGACACACAATCAACTGACACAGATAATTCTATTCACATGAAACTGTGTAGGTTCACCATCATCCTCATCATCATGTAGCAGGTCTTTTGTAGAATGTGACTACCATCACAACTCACCAAAAAAGACTCTAGACCACAGTGTCTCCAGTATCCTGTTCAACTCCATTACTTCTTCTGGGAACCATGCCTTCCTTTTCTTGTTCTTTTCTACATAATTTTTAACAACTTTTTTAAAGATATTCAAAACAATGTTTTCCCGTAATGAATTTAAATAATGTGGATACAAACAATACATTGCACAATTTATTGCCAGGCATATTTCGCTGTATCTCATCAGGTGCATTACTACAGAGTTACATCAACATAAAATAAAGCAAAAAACTGAATAAATTAAACTGAAATGCGAAGACTTTCTTCCAATACATTGCGTCTGTTTCATGGCCGCCGGAAGCTCACCGTAGTCACGTGACTTACCAGGGTAACTTCAAATTTACAATAAATTCCGTCTGCTTACAAAGGAGGGGGTTGTTGATTTTTATTGTTAAAGCTTTGGCGATTCTCAAAAGTCTCCTGTTCGGAGTGTGGTAAACCACACGGAAAGCACTGTCTGTGTCAATTATGTGTCCAGAATTAAGTAGATGACGTCCTATTGAAGAAGCAGGTTCTTTCCTCTTGACCTTTTTTTAAAGATATTTTTTATAGTTTCTCGACTGCTACATGAAATCTAAATCTTAGTTTCACAAACAGTAACTTTAGTCACACAACACCAATAACAACCTTAACAGAAGCAACCACAAATACAACAGCAGCAGTTACAACAGCAACCTTAGCCACAAAACACCAATAACAACATTACTAGAAATAAAAATAACAACAGAAATAACAACAGCAATCACCACAGTAACAACCGGGATGTCCCACCTGTCATAGTCCAGCACTGTGTTGAGCCGGTGGGCAATGGTCAAGATAGTGCAGTCCTTGAACTCCTCTCTGATGGTCTCCTGAATGAGTTCATCAGTCTCCATGTCCACTGCTGCTGTGGCTTCATCCAGTACCAGCACTTTTGTCTTCCTTAGCAGAGCTCGACCTAGACACAGCAGCTGTCTCTGGCCCACACTGTTGAGGGAATTATTACAGATTAGATGTGGCAGGAGACAGCTATCACACAATCTGGACAAGTGTTTTTCAAAATTTTTCAAGCCTTGACCAGCAACACAGAGGAAACTGTTTTGCGGGCCAAATGACAGATAACAAAAGAAAACAATTAAACAACAAGAAGAAAACAAAACGATGGAGATAATTTGCTAAATCTGATAACTTTTAGCTAATGTGATATAGGCTGCTGCCTATACGTTAAAAAACCTGATCTTTGAGGGTGCTGTGTGACAGACTAAGTGCTGCAATAACCTCCATCTGATTTCTTTGTTTGGTTTTTACATGATCAGGCAGGCATTTTTTGGTGGATCACCAAGATGAAGAACATCATCAAGAAGCAGGTCCTTTGCATCAGGTCGCTCTAATCACGGTCTGCCTGAAAGAAACTCAGTCTCTCGCCAGCTCTCCCGCCTTGTGTACTTTCTTATTTAAGGAGTCACTTATATAATGTGCTCATCTGCATGTTGGTCGGCCCCTGCTCCCTCCCATCCCCTCAAAATCAACAACCTCATCTAAAAAAAAAAAAATAAGTTTGAATCTCTCTATGTCCATAAGAGATCCAATCCTTGATTCTATGCATGACCATGTAACACTAATATCTTCTTCTTATTGCTCACCGGTTGTAAACTCTAGCCAGAAAGTTCTGGCTATTTATCCACTTTTAGACTTTAGTCTTGTTTTAGAATTTGAATTTTGCATGCACATCTGTTTCACAAATCTGCTTATTTGTTTGCAGACTGTAGGTTCCTGCCTCTCTCAGGCAGAGACACTCTGACTTTAGAGGAAAAATCCCTAGTCAGCCACACAGGAAGTGGTAAAAAAGTAAAACCCTAAAAACACTGTTCCCTGAGGAGAACAAAAGACTTGCCTGAGGTTCTCCCCACCCTCCCCACATTCATGGTCTAGCTTGTCAGGTAGATTCTCCACAAATCTTCGCAGGTGGGCATGGTCCACAGCCTGCCAGATGGCACTGTCGGGATGTTCGGAGAATGGGTCCAAGTTGTCTCTCAGACTTCCAGCGAAAATCACAGGATCCTGGAACACAAACAGTGAAAAATCATAAGATCCTAAAATTAAAAACAGTGAAAAGTTACAGAATCCTATAAGTAAAAACAGTGAAAAAAATCACAGGACCCTAGAATTAAAAACTTAAAAATCACAGGATCCTGGTACAAAAAAGAGTGAAAATAATAGGATCCTAGAATTAAAAACTTAAAAATCACAGGATCTTGGAACAAAAACAGTGAAAATCACAGGATCTTGGAACAAAAACAGTGAAAATCACCGGATCCTGGAACAAAAACAGTGAAAATCACAGGTTCCTAGAATACAAACAGCAAATATCGTCAGATCCTGCAACACAAAGGTAGCTGACAAACACCTAACTTGAACTAGTTCAAGAACTCACAGTTAAATGGACACAAAACAAATATGCTGACACCCCTACCTGTGGCAGAATGGTGATCTTAGACCTGAGGTCCTGCAGGCCTAGCCTACAGATGTCCACATCGTCGATGAGGATGCGACCACTGGTTGGTTCCACCAGACGAAACAAGGCTAGGGTCAGTGATGACTTGCCTGCTCCAGTACGGCCTACAATCCCCACCTGGAAATCGAGGCAGCAATTAGTTATCTCTGTTAAATAAGGGGGGCTGCGTGGTCTCGGGGCATGGTGTCCACCTCAAGTGCTAGAGGTTCCTGGTTCAATCCCCGGTAAGGGCTGGGATTTTTTCATGTGCACTCAGACTTCTAGTAACTCCCCCATGTTTTTGGGTAGTGAGATCAGACGCTGGTGTGCATTGTTGCGCACGCAAAAAAATCCCTTAGCAGTTGGAAATTGAAAAGAGTAGCCTAACGGCTCTGCCCTGGCAAAATTTTGAATTAAAAATCAACCCAAAGTATTTCAGGACCCTCACCAGTGCTACAGAGCCTGTGCCTTGTGCTGAGCTTCTTCAGACCCAGACTTGAGTTAGAAGAAGAACGGAGCACTTATGGGTTTCTACCCGTGTGCCATGATGTTGATTCATTGTTTAAAACCTCAAAACCTGTGTTAAACATAACTTGTGCAAAAGTAGCATATTTTTCCATGTAAGAGAGCACCCTTGTATAAGATGACTCAAATTTGTTAAGCCCAAAATTAACAAATGAATATTTTAAACACATTACGAGGTTTGAGGTTTAAACAACGAATTAACATCATGGCACACGGGTAGTAACCCATAAGTGCTCCATTCTTCTTCTGGGTCCGAAGAAGCTCAGCACAGTGCACAGGCTCTGTAGCACAGGCAAGGATCCTGAAATACTTTGGGTAGAATTTTAACTCGAAATTTGTGCCTGTTAGGCCGCTAGACTACTCTTTTCGATTTCCAACTACCAAGAGATTTTTTACATGCGGAACAATGCACACGTGCGTGCGATCTCACTACCCAGAGACCAGGGGGAATTATTAGAAGTGCAAGTCCACATGAAAAAATCCCAGGCCTTACTGGGGATTGAACCCGAGGAACATCTGGCACTCGAGGCGGACAACATGCAGCCCCGTAAACTTGTGAATATAAGACAACCCCCCCCCCCCCCCACCAGCTTGATACACTTAAAAAAATTTGAAAAAGTATATCAACAGAAAAATATGATATTTTTTTGCCTTTGTACCATACACCACTTGTCTCTTGTATCATACACTGTCTTTCTTGCAAACATACCTGATATTTTTTTTTTCAGTGAGTGTCTTGCAGAGGCACCACTTTTTTGTTGTTGCAATATGCTTGGATCTTTCTTGTTTTTCAGTCTTACTCTTGTACCACACACCATTTTTCTTGTAAACCTACTTGATCTTTCTTGTTTTTCAGGCATTACTCTTGTACCACACACCATTTTTCTTGTAAACCTACTTGATCTTTCTTGTTTTTCTGTCCAACTCTTGTACCACACACCATTTTTCTTGTAAACCTACTTGATCTTTCTTGTTTTTCTGTCTAACTCTTGTACCACACACCATTTTTCTTGTAAACCTACATGATCTTTCTTGCTTTTTTAAACATTGTTTTTCTCTTGTACTACACACCAAATTTCTCGCAAACATCTGATATTTCCTGTCTTCATACCATATCGCCTCTACCCTACACTTTAAAAATAAAATAATTCTGTCTTTTTTCACACAAGATCTCTCTTGTATCTCACTTTGTAATACATATGTATATAATTTTAAGCTCTTGTATTTCACAGTATCATGAAACCTACACTATCTTTAAGTACATCAGTATTCAAACTAGCCCAAACTGGACTAAAGGTTACTCTGTAATGCCGGGGCCCTAATATAAATCTATTATACAGCTGAACGTGGTTTCTAGGATTTGCTTCTCTTTGAGTCTCATCTGATTAGTGGCTCTTTGAGTCAATGGTTGTTAATCTCTAGGAAAACAATCATGAAAGGGTAATGATATCTATCTCTAGTATCTCCTACTTTTGCTCTCACGTTGTATCTTTATTCCCCCACCCGTTCTTGTATTTTAAAAATATATACCTTACTATCTTGTTTCTCAAACTATCCTGCATCTCACATTATCAAGTGTCTTGCTGGCTGGATAGGATATTATTTATATCAGACAGACATCATGAAAAGATATCTGAACAGATAGCAAAGCAAATGAAAAGAAGAACCAGGCATTCACTATATCACAAACCCAAATGACAAGTGAACGTTGCAGCTATACAGCCTTCATCAGCATGTTAGGAGAGTATACAAAATACCATAAATATGTACAAGAATACACAAAAATCACGTAGATGGAGTATCTCCAAGAGAAATCACATATCTGCCCAGCCAGTTGAATGTCTGACATGTGTATGACCAATCAATTAAATCAGTCAGCAAATCCTTTACAGAATTCCACTCTCTTCACAGCACACTTGGAAGTCTCTCTTTCATTAGCCAATTCTCCAGCCCTGTGTGCTTTCATAGCTAATGCATCTTCAATGTCCTGTATTCACCTTCACAGAGGATGGCCTCTGCCTTGTTTTCAGGAAACTGCGCCTTCTTATCACCGTCCTCTCTAGACCCAACATGCATTTGACAAGTCCAAAACACCTCAGCTTCTGGAAGAGGATACTGTTTACAAGCCAGTTTTTTAAATAATGTTCAGGTTGTACAGGATGTCGTCCACATCGTCTTCTTCTTGGTCCATGGTATTCCATGTATTCCCACAGTGTGTGACCAGCAAAAATAAACATACACGACATACAGCAGACTAAGAACAGCTCTCACCTTCTCCCCTGCTCTGATCTCAAAGCTAATGCCCTTCAACACCAGGTCCAATCCTTCTCTGTAACGCAGACTTAGGTTGTCGACCTGCAGGTGACCTCGGCTGGGCCAGCCAGGGGGACTCCGGTACTCCAGATTATCCCAGTCTGCCTATGAAGAAATAACTGTCTTTGAATGTTAACTCTCAGCCTGGTAAGCTGGCAGTTATTAGCTGGCGTGATTCTCTGAAAGGTCTGTCTCACAAGAATAATTTTCATTAGTTACAACATCGGACTCTCATGCAAGAGACCCAGGTTCGACTCCCCCAGTAAGGTAATGGAATTTTTCTGTCAGGGGTAAAATTAAATATCCTAACCTGCACAGTCCATGGTGACAACACTAGCCAAGTGGCCCTAATTCCCCAGGCTCACAATCCCTTGTCTACATCACCCTAAAAATAAGAAGTGGTACCGGCAGACTGTAGTTACTTACTGACTGGTTCAGGAACTTGTGACAGCCCAGGACAAATGGGATTCAATGATATGATAGGATCACTAATGTAAAGCTTTGGCAGAGAACTTAACAAATTTCAGTTAATCAAGAGATAAGGAAATGATACTGGCATTAGATATGACACACAGGGAGAGAACCTGACTATATAACTGGAATATCTTCTCACTGGAACCCACATTGTCAAAGCCAATAAGTTCTTGTATATATGTTTATTACATCTAGGGTCTCAGGGTTTCCCCATCTTCATATCCATATGATTATTATTCAGTAATAAGGGCAGATGAAAAGGTAACATGAAGAAGAAAACTAAAGAGTGAAGTTTAAAAGACCAGGAGGTCAGAGACACAGCAAATCAAAAGAAAGGATAGAATGAGGTGGTGGAGTTGGCTGAGAGCCTATTCTCCTGAAGTGGCAGAAAGTAAGACAGAATGGAAAAGAGAAATAATGGAAGTAAGAGAGAGAGAGAGAGAGAGAGAGAGAGGACACAAATAAAAGCATGAGAATGTGAAGAAAACAGAAAAGGACAACAGAGGGGAAAGAATAGGGAAAACATGGAAGAGACAGGGAAAATGAGACAGAAAATATGAAACAAGAAGAAATACTATAACACTTCTAGCCACATGCAGCAAAATCAAGAAGATCTCACCTCCATGGCAACCTCAGTGTACTCAATGATTCTCTCGACAGAGACTATCTGTGTCTCCAGGTCACTGGTCATTCTCACCAGCCAGTTCAGGCTCTCCGTGATCTACAAACACACCGACAGATAACTTTGTTGTTCATCTTGTTCTAGTTTATTGACATCCATCAACTGCTTTCACAGCATTATAAAACACATTTCCCTCGGAAGCAAAAATAAAAGTCTCAAACTTAGGCTCATGATCTCTCCTGTATTCTACATCACTCTAATATAGTCTTTACAAACTGTATTGTTTTCATTATAAACAGTTTTATGAAACTTGGCCCCAAGTTCTGTGTAACGCTAACAATTCTCTGATCTCTAATAATAATTTTGCTTCAGAGGATTTGGATAACAGCTCTATTAACCATCTTATAAACAGTTCTATGTCAGATACACATCTGGTAAACAGTTCTATGCAAGATAACCATCTGATAAACAGTTCTATGCAAGAAAACCATATGATAAACAGTTCTATGCAAGATAATCATCTTATAAACAGTTCTATCCAAGATAGCCATCTGATAAACAGTTCTGTCAGATACCCATCTGATAAACAGTTCTATGTCAGATACCATCCGGTAAAAAGTTCTATGTCAGATACCCATCTGATAAAAAGTTCTATGTCAGATACCCATCTGATAAACAGTTCTATGTCAGATATCCATCTGGTAAACAGTTCTATGTAAGATATCCATCTGGTAAACAGTTCTATGTCAGATACCCATCTGGTAAACAGTTCTATGTCAGATACCCATCTGATAAACAGTTCTATGTCAGATACCCATCTGATAAACAGTTCTATGTCAGATACCCATCTGGTAAACAGTTCTATGTCAGATACCCATCTGGTAAACAGTTCTATGTCAGATACCCATCTGGTAAACAGTTCTATGTCAGATATCCATCCATCTATGTCAGATATCCATCTGGTAAACAGTTCTATGTCAGAGATATCCATCTGGTAAACAGTTCTATGTCAGATATCCATCTGGTGATCAGATACCCATCTGAGTAAACATTTCAGATTCTATCTGTGTCAGATACCCAGATATGTCAGATACCCATCTGATAAACAGTTCCATGTCAGATACCCATCTGATAAACAGTTCTATGTCAGATACCCATCTGGTAAACAGTTCTATGTCAGATATCCATCTGGTAAACAGTTCCATGTAAGATAACCTAAAAGTAACAGTAAAGAACCATTTTCATGCCTTCAGCACTGCAGGCTCATCGTGCTAGACCTATATTTGTAAAGATCAACTGTCACTCGATGGAGGCTGAAGTGGTCAACATCGTGCCGCCTGCATAAATGTGGTGATAAATATCACAGTTATAAATGGGTGGATAACCTCCTTTGGATATTTTCTCCAGGTCATGCTGGTGTGTTGGGAAATGAGTGGGCAGAA